GAATGTTCAAATTATTACACTTATTTTTTTAAAGACTGCTTTATTATTGTTCCAGACAACTTAACAAAATGAAGAAGCTTTTTAAAATAAATGCTTGATTTGAAGAGGCCCAGTGCTATTGTATCTTCTTTTAAATAGCGGAGAATAATGTATACTTCCAGAAAGCCACATCAATTTTAACAGCTTCTGTACAAGTATGGTCTGTAATATAACAGTGTCCTGTTGTCTAATTAGACACTGACTTAGTCATGTTTGGAGTAGATCTATTTAAATAATTAGGAGAAGCTAGTGTGACGACATTTAAGAAAACTTTCTGGTATTAATATACTGCCATAAGATACATTTCTCCAATTCTATGGGTCAGGCACACATGCACCAAAATACACCACAAACTGTGTATATTGTCTGTACTGTTTGTTGTTTGTTGCAAGGAGGCAAATTGCTGGGAGGCAGAGGCAGATTTTTTTCCCCTTGTTTTCCTCCCCAAAAGCTAGGTGCGTCTTATACTTTGGAGCGTCTTATACTCTGAAAAATATGGTATGTAGGCAGAATGCTATCCAACTACTTAGTAAATATATGGCTGCTTCTATTCTGGCCAATGAAAGAAAACAAATAATCAGTTCAAATAATCAGTTCATAAACATAATTGTAGCATGGTTTCTATAAAAAATAGAGATCCTTCATTCTCCGTGGCCCAAACTTTTCCAACTATGAGTTTAAATAGAACTCTGTCATGCCTTGATCATTTGCAACTACAGGAAGCCTGGAGAAAAATGACCAAGCTGAAGGTGTCACTTTTAAGTAATCTTCGAAGTTGAAATGTGGCCCATCCTTTCCCCACCAGCCAGATCTTGCCCACCACAGTCAATAATAGACATTAGAGTACACTCACTATTTTCCTGCTCTCTACGGCCTGCAGATAGGTGCGAAAGCGGAACCAGGGTCCAAAAATAACAGTTCCGACAAAGTAGATATATCCCATGAACTCAACTGGGGATGGAATGGTTGGTACCTCGCCCCGGTCCAGATCAAAGCCCAATGACACAGCCTTCATTGCCACAATCATCTGGGCCCCTAGTGGTAGAAATGAGAGAGTGGGTCAGTGCTAACATTCTTAACAAGCAGCTTAAATAATTTGTTGCCATGGAGTAGAGTTACTAGCACGAATTATTTTTCTTTAGTCCAGCAAAGATGTTCAGTTCCAATGGTATTTACGAATGGAAGCTCGTATATAAGAAAAATATCATTCTTTCTAATAACCACTCAGTTTATAAGCCTTGATACAATTTTCTAGCTGTAAAGCTAGGAATGCTACACATGCTGAACAGTACTTTATGCTTTTGGAATGGTAGCACTTTCTTTCAATAAATAGATTTTCTGACACACCTTATCACTGTTGTGGGCCCAGCAGGAGCCAGTGGAGCTTCCACCAGACTCCGACAGCAAGGGGCCCTATGAGTCGGCTCTGGAAGATGTGGAGGACCCTGGACAAGTTTCTGACTCCAAGCAGGGCACAGAGAGACTGGTTGGCCACCAGGAGGTGCCTGAGGCCTGGAGCGGCGGTGAGAGCCAAAGGGAGCGTGCTCCCGAAGTCAAGCCTTGGAACAGTGGGGAGGAGACAAGGGAGTGTGATCCTGACATCATGCATTGGAGCAGTGGGGAGGAGACAGGGGAGTTGGTCCTGGATGCCCGGCAACAGAGGGCTAATAGGCGTAAAGAACAATTACGCAATTAAAGGAGATAATGGAACTCAGCTGGTGGTAATTAGGCTCCTCTCAACACTATATAAAGAATGGTTTTCCACAAGCTTGTT